GCGGCGGACGGGGCAGCGGAGCCGAGAGAGTGCGGGTAGCTCTGCGGCGCGGTGGCGGCGCGACGGGGCCGGGCGGAGCCGAGCCTGGGGAGGACACGGCCCTGCTCCGTTTGCTGGGGCTCCGCCGGGGCCTGCGCCGGCTCCGCCGCCTGTGGGCCGGCCCGCGCATTCAGCGGGGCCGAGGCAGGGGCCGGGGCCGGGGCTGGGGCCCCAGCCGGGGCTGCGTGCCTGAGGAGAGCAGTGACGAGGAATCCGACGATGAGGTGAGGCAGTCAGAGGCGTCCCCAACGCCGGGCGGGGCGGAGGCCGGGGGGCTTCCAAGGGTCTGGGTGGCCCCGAGGGGTGGCGTGAGGAAGCGAGGTTCTCAGGGTCCTTGCGGAGGGATGGTGGGGCCCTGCGGGTAGGCCTGGGAGGAGATAGGCTGCACGGAGGTGTCGGTGCAAAAGGCCTCCGAAAGTGGGTAGAGAAGCCGGGCTGCAGCTGGGCACTTGGGCCCGAGGCACATCCTGCTGAAGTGTCCTGGGATGATGATCTTGGTAGTTGGCAAAGCTATGCCAGTAGAGGTTTGAGCGAGAAGACTGTGGGTACCGCATGCCCAACCAGTGGAGGTTGACAGCAGCAGCGTGGCTTTAGTGGACCTAGGCTAGGGCTCTCTGGGCTCTTACCTGTAGGCTGCTCCGCCTGGCCTTACAATTTGACACATCACTGGTTTCACCAGTACCCTGATTCTTTCTCTTAAGGTGGAGGGATAGTAGCCTGGTGGAAGGCTTCCTCTCAGGGGCACAGATTGAAGAGAAATTGAATAAAGGCTGAGGCTGGGAACTCTAGCAGGTCTGAGTTCAGCTCAGGATTTATCCTCAGCCTCCCAGAAAAGTCAGGAAGGTGTGGGTTGTATTACTTAGGACAGTGTGTAGTAACCTGAGGGCTCAGAGTAGAGCCTATTACAGTAAACCATTTGAAACACACACCCCACTTGGGTGCCCCGTTCCCATCTTCATTCAGGAAGAAACTACATTCTGAGAGTGAGTAAACAAGTCCCACCGTTTTCTGAGTTAGAGGATGAGGGAATCTGAGGGTAGTGTTTACTTCCTGGCCTGGGAAGACCCCGTTCTCTTCCCTTTTGGGCCAGTGAACCACTGGTGGCTGTGCTGATGTGGTCCGGCACAGGGGATGGGGGATCAGAATACCCTGTGCCTCTGTCCCTAGGGAGAGACCCTGTTTTCTATTCTTCTCACATCTTCCAGCTTCTTAAGTTTTTCTGTAAATAGGTAGGGGTATGCTAAGAGGGAAACTGGGGATATATCTCCATACCTGAGTCTCAGGTGAAATGAGGGCTTTGGCACTGACTGCTGTTTTTCCCCTCCACCTCTGGTCCCCTAAATCAGGAGTTTCAGGGTTTTCATTCAGATGAAGATGTGGCCCCCAGTTCCCTGCGCTCTGCGCTCCGATCCCAGCGAGGTGAGTGATGGGGAAACTCTACCTCTGTAGTTTTACAGGAATGTGATTCTTGCTCTTTGTGTCAGCTCTTCCCTGTTCCGCTAGAGTCTCCATCAGTTACAGAGTGTGTTCTGTGTTCAAGCCCAAGCTAGGCTGGGCTGTGGGGGAAACAGACAAGTAAGACTTAGTCCTTGCCTTCCTGGAGTGCCTTCTTCAGTCTGCAGGGCTAGCTTGACCCATCTCCCCACACCTATTCTCCTTTTAGGTCGAGCCCCCCGAGGTCGGGGCCGCAAGCATAAGACGACCCCCATTGCGCCTCCTCGCCTAGCAGATGTTGCTCCTACCCCCCCAAAGACTCCTGCCCGGAAACGGGGTGAGGAAGGCACAGAACGGATGGTACAGGCACTGACTGAACTTCTCCGGCGGGCCCAGGCACCCCCAGCCCCCCGGGGCCGGACATGTGAGCCTTCCACTCCACGTCGGTCTCGGGGACGGCCCCCAGGACGGCCAGCAGGCCCCTGCAGGAAGAAGCAACAAGCTGTAGTGGTGGCAGAAGCAGCTGTGACAATCCCCAAACCCGAGCCCCCACCTCCTGTGGTTCCAGTAAAACACCGAACTGGCAGCTGGAAGTGCAAGGAGGGGCCCGGCCCAGGACCTGGGACCCCTAAGCGTGGAGGACAGGCTGGGCGAGGAGGCCGTGGAGGTAGAGGCCGAGGCCGAGGCGGGCTCCCTCTCGTCATCAAGTTTGTTTCAAAGGCCAAAAAAGTGAAGATGGGACAGTTGTCCTTGGGAGTTGAATCAGGTCAGGGTCAAGATCAACGCGAGGAAAGCTGGCAGGATGCCCCCCAAGGAAGAGCTGGATCTGGACAGGGAGAGGGCCCCTGCTGGAGGAAAGAGCAAAAGCTGGAGGAGGAGAGAGAGAAGGAGACAGAAGAGGAGAAAGGCAAGGAGAAGGAGGAAGAGAAGGTAGAGGGAGCTGGACCTGAAGAGATGATGCTGGCGGAGGAAAAGGAAGAGGCAGAGCTGCCATCCCCACCCTCGACTCCTCCAGAGCCTCCAGCCCCTGCAGCCCCTGCAGCCCCTGCAGCCCCTGCAGCCCCTGCAGCCCCTCCACCCGCTCCACCCCCTCCACCCCCCCCACCCCTTCCATCTCCTCCATCTCTTCCACCTCCTCCACCCCCACCGCCCCCACCACCCCTTCCACCCCTCCCTCCTCCCTCAACTTCTCCTTCATCCCCACTTTGTCCTCCACCACCCCCAGTGTCCCCTCTGCCCCCACCATCACCTCCACCACCTCCTGCCCCAGAGGAGCAGGAAGAATCTCCTCCTCCAGTGGTTCCAGCTACATGCTCCAGGAAGAGGGGCCGGCCTCCCCTGACTCCCAGCCAGCGGGCAGAGCGAGAAGCTGCTCGGGCAGTGCCAGAAGGTACTCCTCCCACTCCAACCCCCAGCACCACCACAGGAGGCCCTCTGGAAGACAGCCCCACTGTGGCCCCCAAAAGTACCACCTTCCTGAAGAATATCCGGCAGTTTATTATGCCCGTGGTGAGTGCCCGCTCCTCCCGTGTCATCAAGACACCCCGGCGATTTATGGACGAAGACCCCCCCAAGCCCCTAAAGGTAGAAGTCTCACCTACTCTGCGGCCTCCTGTTGCCATGTCCCCACTCGCCCCCCCCAGAACCGGCACCAGCTCCCTCTCCACCGCGTGCCCCAACTCCCCCCTCTACCCCAGTCCCGCTTCCTGAAAAGAGACGGTCCATTCTAAGGGAACCCACATTTCGCTGGACCTCACTGACCCGGGAACTGCCCCCTCCTCCTCCTGCTCCTCCACCGGCCCCACCTCCACTTCCTGCCCCTGTCACTCCATCCCGGAGGCCCCTGCTCCTTCGGGCGCCTCAGTTTACCCCAAGCGAAGCCCACCTGAAGATCTACGAATCGGT